CGCGAGAGCCTGGCGGCCATCCGCTCCGAGAGCGCCCTGCTGCGCGGCCAGCTCGGCGGGCTGCGGGCCGAGGCCCAGCAGCGGGTGGTGGAGAATGGCGCGCTCGGCAGGCGGCTGGGGCTCCACCGGCAGTCCCAGGCGCGCGGCCTGACGCAGGCTCCGGGGGGAAGACGCTCAGAGGAGGAGGAGGAGGTCTGCCGCTGTCTCGTGTTCGCCTGTGTGGGGCCACTCGGGGGGACTTCATCGCCAGTGCTGTATTCGCCTGGAGACTCACTGGCTTACGCCGCACCGCCGACCCCTTGGGGCGGCAGCAAGAGTGGAAGACAGGGTTCGCGGAACGCTCGCGATCGCTGGGCAATCTTGGGGTTTCGGCCTGTCCTACGTAGCGTGTGGGGTTCAGGGGGGGGGCTGGCAGGGGATCGTTTTGAAGTGTTTCGTGGTCTTATGTGAGTTTCTTGGGGCCTTCACGGGGCCTGTCCCTGGATTCGCCTGGAGATTCTAGTCAGAACGCACCACGTGAGAGGCCCGTGGAGTGGCGGTATCCGTAACCCGGGAGGGTAAGGCTGAGGTTGCCCCTTGGCATCGCTCGGACGTGCGCATTTTTCCTTCGGTGAGGACCATCGAGGAGCACGAAACCGCAAAAAGCACAGGGAATGGACGTCCGAGCGATGGCCAGGCCCGGCACCGATCCTGGCCAGCAGGAGGGGTGGGCGAGGCTAGAGGTGCTGGGCTCGGGGAAGGCTCTGCTGCCCCTTCCGGCCTCCTGGGGCTGCTTCCGGGCCCAGACCTCGACCCGCCCAGGATATTTTCATGGCAGTCCTCCACGTCATGATTCCTGTTGAACTCGCCACATCTGGCGTCCAATCCGAGCCCTCCACATGAGGATTCCTACTGGCACCGTCCAAAGGGAAGATCCCGATCAAGCCGTGCGGGGCCCACCCCGCGACCCACCCTGCCACCCACCCTGCCACCCACCCGCGACCCACCCCGCGACCCACCCACATGGCTTCGACGAGCAGCAGAATCGGCGCCTGCGGCGGGCTCGTCGTACATTATGATAGAAGGTCTTCATTAAAGACCATGTCGCAGTTACTTTTTATGGTTTTTTCCAACCAGCACGATGACCATGACCAAGATGCCGTAGGGTCTTGTCGACGCCGTTTTTGGCCATGCTCTGTGCCTTTCGTCGCTGATCCGCAGGAGTGATCCACGATCTGATGATGCCCAATTTCGGCATTTCCCGCTTTCAGCATTCGTTCATGGTGATGGTCATGGTGGTGATGGTCCTGGTGGTGATCGTCACGGTCATGGTGATGGTTCCCAGTGCTGATGGTCGAGGATGAGGTTCCCAGTGGTGATGGCCGGCCCACGCGCGAAGAGGGGGGCAGGAGGAGGCGGGAGGGCTTCTTAGAAGCACCGCTGGTTCTTAGAAGGCGCGGGCCTCATCTATAGATGTAGGGTTAAGGCGGGCTTGTCCCTCGACAGGAGGAAAATTCAAAAATAGTCCAAAAATAGTCTGGGGACTATTTTTTGATTGGGGGCCAGTTTGGGGTATGTTTTGACTATGTTTCATTTGTCGGCCAAAATCCGCCTGTAGGGGGACATGCCCGACCTAAATGTAGGGCCAGCGCCGTCTAAGGAGCAGGCCTCCTTCCAAGAAGCCCCCCCCCCCCTCCCCCCACACCATTTTTTGCCCAGAGATCCGATGTCGTGATTTTGTTGTCCGTGCGATGTCCCCTGGCAGTCCCGACCCGGCGGCCGGTTTTTCTTCCCGAGTCATTGTTTGACGGGTCCCGGGCTGAGCCATCAGGAGGGCAAAAAACACACAGACACAATTAATCATCGATCCCCAGGAAAATATGGGAAGTGGAGGGGAAGACAAAAACCCAGAAAATATAAGAAAATATGGGGGATATTTTTATTTGTGTGTATTTATTTGTGTGTCCTGGGGCCCCTTCATGTGTTTCTTCCCGGCGAGGGCCTCCAGAAGCCGAAGAGGGTGAATAGCAATCCGTCTTGAGGTGTTCAATGCGTTGGATTTTCGGGTGTGCTCGCCGCCAAGATTCGGGGGCGGAAAAGAGGGGGGTGATGACTAGGGGGGGGTGGATCTCATGGCGGGGGCCATGATATCTCCCCAGATTGCATGGCGCCTCTTCTTGTTTCATTACGTCCCAGGCCCCCCCGCTGGGCCGCGCACATGCCGCCGGCCATGATTTGCACCCCCCCCCTCTTGGACACCCCCTCTTGGCCGCTCCCGAAAGATGGTCAAGAATGAGGTTCCTCGTGGTGACGGCCGTGGTCCTTCGCTTTTTGGTTCGACGATGTGATGAATAGGATGCTGATCCAACTGCGCAATGAGTTGGCCCTGCAGGAGTTTGCCAAATCAGCAAGCGGCCTCGCTCGCTGAGCGCTCGTGGCCGAAACGGCTACGCATACGACGTATATCACAACTCATACGAATGTTACGACAGACAGAGCCGCAGGGTAGCCCCAGACGTCACCCCAGCGGCGGTCCAGGCTCCCCGGAGAAACTTGCCTGACCTCGCAGCAGGTCACGAAGGTTTTTTCCGAGCGTTTCCCAACACGCGTGCCCGGAAGCTCTCCAGACGGACCGAAGGACCTTCGGAAGCTCTCTCCAGGTCCTTCCAGAGTGCTTTTCTTCGCCAGGCCTTTCCACGTCCTTGGGGCGCCATGTTATCCAGGTTCTGGACCTCAGTGGGCCCTGGAAACGACAGGGTCGTTTTTTTACCGGTTCCGTTCTGCCGTTTTTTCGCCGGTTCCGACGCCGTTTTTTTACCGGTTCCGTCGCCGTTTTTTGACCGGTTCCGGCTCCGGTTCCAATCCTGGAGCAGTTTTTTTGCCGTTTCCGGTCGCAGTTTTTGTTGCCGTTTCCAGTTTCAAGGGACATTTATTTGGAAACGGTAGAAAAACGGCCCTGCCGTTTCCAGGGCCCACAAAGTTCTGGACTACACAAGTATCACAGCTCATGCGAATGTTACACCAGACGTGTCATGACCGTGGCCCCTCGTGTTCTTTCCCTCCTCAGGCGGCGGTGCTCGCGACCGCCCTCGAGCGCGTCCGCAAGGCCCCCGCGGCGCGCACCGGCCCCCCATCTCCGAAGGTTTGGTGCCGTCGGCCCGTGGCTTTGCTTTGGTTCCCCGGCCCTCTGTCGGCGACGGCGAAGGGTGTGGTTACGCCGGGGTGTGGTTTGCGATCGGCACCGCTGGGGCCTGGGGGGCACGACACTGTCCTCGTCGGGCCTCCTCGGGGCGCGGGAGAGCTCTATCCAGGTCCCCGCGTGCCCCCCAAGGTGCCCCCCAGGATGTTCCCCAGGGTGCCGGTCGCAGCCAGCGTTGACTCCGAATAGACAGATGGACCGGAGAAGAGCGAGCGAAGGGGAAGACGGAGAGAAGAGGACGGTAGGAGAGGAAGCCAAGCATGAGGGGGGTGCCATTGGAAATAAGGGGGGGTGCCATTGGCAAAAGGGGGGGGAGGGGGTGCCATCGAAAAAGAGGGGGGGGAACCATTGGAAAAAAGGGGTGGGGTCCTCTCCTGTAGGGCAAGCCTACTTAGAGAACAACTCGCCGGGCTCCGAGACCGTCAACCGAATGAATCAGGATGAGACGCCGGCCCAGGGGAAGGGTCGGGACTTCCAGGGACCCCGTGTTGCAAGAGCCACGACATCGGATCTGTAGCAAAGGGCCCAACCATATGCAGTTGTGAGTACCGTATCTGTGAGTACGATCTTGGGTGGATTTCCCAATGGGGCCACGAAGCGCTCGAGGGACATGCCTAAATGGGGACAGGCGGATGCAGACTGTGCCATTGGGGACTCCTGGAAGAGAACACCGCGTAATGTCCAAAACTTGTTAAACACATATTGACCCCTCCCCCCCCCCAGATCCCGACTGCCATTACTTCGCCGCCGAATACCTAATCTTTAAATTGTCCCCCTGGAAAATCCGAGTGAGGGGGCCGAACGGTCATTCATTGTCCCTGTGTGCGTGGCTGAATATGGAATTCGTGGTGAGAATTCTGCTTGTTGCGTTGTTATTGTTGTTGTTGTTGGTGGTGGTGGTGTTGTTGTTGATGTTGTTGTTGTTGTTGGTGGTGGTGGTGTTGTTGGTGTTGTTGTTGAATTCTCATTTCTGAAGAATAATTATTGTTGATCCCCCCCACTGGTGCATAATGTTTTTTTCTCAATCAAAGTGTGACCCTCGACGCTCGCACCCTTTTTTTTGACAGGGAAAATCTTCCTGCTCAAACTGGCCTCTTGGCCCCCGGGTTACAACAACAACGGCTCCCGCTTGAGTTTTCCTTGCAATTTAGCCAGGACCCCCGCTCCCGCCCGAGACTTCCTCGCATTTTATTCAGGAATCGCGCTCTCGCTTGGGACTTCCTTACAATTGATTCAGGAATCGCTCTCCCGGCGCTCTGGAGTCGCGCTCTCGCTGGAGACTTGCTTGCAACTTACTGAAGGATGGCCTTGCGTTGGAATTTCTTGCAATTTGCCGAAGCGCCGCGCTCCCGACACCCAGGCACCCAGGAGTCGCGCCTGTTGTGGCCCCATGTGCATGCCCTTCGTGGCCCCGCTGTCGCCATTTGTGTCCCCCTCACTGTCCTACGTGGCCCAGTTGCTATCCTCAGTGACCCCATAGTTGCCTTCTGTGGCCCCGCATTATCTGCACCTCGTGGCCCCAGCTCGTTCGCGCTCTTCGTAGCCCCATATGCATTCCCTTCGTGTCCCCGCTGTCGCCCTTCGTGGCCTACTTCGTGCCCTTCGTGGCCCTGCTGTCGTTCTCTCTCGCTCTCGCTTTCGCTCGTCGTCGCCGTCGTCGTCGTCGTCGCCGTCGTCGTCGTCATCGTCGCCGTCGTCTTCGACGTCGTCGTTGTCGTCGTCGTCGTCGTGGTCGGTCCCCTGTGCGTCCCTCTCGGGGTCGGGTCGACGGTCCGCGGCAGCCCCGCCGATCAGCGCTGCCGCTGGCCAGGCCGACGGTCCGCGGCCGCCCCGCCGCTTGCCGGGCCTGGCCTGCAGGAAAGAAAGGTATACCCCCCAAAAGGGGTTCGATCGAAGACGAAGAGGGCGGGTATCGAGGGTTTGGGAAATATGCGTGATTGGACACTCGAGCATAGAAGGGCGAACAGTCTTAAACTTATTATTGTTGTTGTTGTTGTTGTTGTTGGTGTTGGTGTTGTTGTTGTTGCTGCTGTTGCTGCTGCTGTTGTTGTGGTTGTTGGTATTGGTGTTGTTGTTGTTGATGTTGTTGCTGCTGCTGTTGCTGCTGTTGTTGTTGGTGTTGTGGTTGTTGGTGCTGGTGCTGGTGTTGTTGTTGTTGTTGCTGCTGCTGTTGTTGTTGCTGCTGCTGTTGTTGTTGTTGTTGGTGTTTTTATTGCTGGTGTTGTTGTTGTTGTTGTTGTTGTTGTTGTTGTTGTTGTTGTTATTGTTGTTGTTGGTGTTGTTGGTGTTGTTGTTGTTGTTGTTGCTGTTGCTGTTGCTGTTGCTGTTGTTGTTGTTGTTGTTGTTGTTGTTGTTGTTGTTGTTGTTGTTGTTGTTGTTGTTGTTGTTGTTGTTTGTTGTCGTCGTCCCAGCCGCTACCCACCCCGCGCCCCACCCCGCGACCCACCCCGCGACCCACCCCGCGACCAACCCCGCGTTCCACCCCGCGACCCACCCGCGACCCAACCCGCGACCCAACCCGCGACCCACCCCGCGACCCACCCGCGACCCACCCGCGACCCACCCGCGACCCACCCCGCGACCCACCCCGCGACCCACCCGCGACCCACCGTGCGACCCATCCGCGACCCATCCGCGACCCACCCGCGACCCCACCCGTGACCCACCCGCGACACACCGTGCGACCCACCCTCAAGGGAGAACCGCTTCGACCCGACTATTGACTTTACTGAAACGACTAAACAGCCCTGCTTTGTCCGACTCATTCTTTGTGTGCGTTTACCAAACGGCTTGGCTTGTCGGGGTGATTCTCATGGGGTGGATTTTTAGCCCTCTGCACCCGCGACCCGCGACCCAACAGCGACCTACCCGCGACCCACCCCCGACCCACCCGCGACCCACCCCGCGACCTACCCACATTGGTTTAACGAAAACATCGGCGCCCGCGGCGGGCTCGTTGTATTTGTGAAACTTTAGCGCATGCGGCGGATTTCTCCAGAGTTTCGCAAACTGCCGACGTCCCCACCACCCCCTCACTCTTATCCGCATTTGCGGGGTGCTACGTATTCCACGGGGACCGAACGATGCGATCGATAAATGCACATGTCTGTTTGTATACACATATGTGTATACACACGCACGCACGCGCATGCATCTGTATATGCGCATGCGCTGTATGCGTGCAGATGTGCAGGCTACTTCGGTCAACGAGTAGGTAGTTTTCGTCTCACTTGGACACTGTACGTACGTGCGCGCGCGACTGCGCGCACGTGCGCGCGGTGGCGTCCAGTTCTCGCGCGCGGTGTGAGGCTGAATGACCTTATGTTGGCTCCCAGAGTCCAAAAGTTACAATCAGTTTTTCTTCTGCGGTTTCGGGGGTGGCACGTGTCACCCGTTGAGTTTGTTGTTTGTGAGATTGAATGGCCTGAATCCTACATTCACCGTGGGTTTTTCCCTCACGGTTTCGGGGGTGGCACGCGTCGCCCGTTGTTCTTGTTGTGAGGATGATTTGATGTTGGCCCCAGATTCCCATTTTTTTTTCAGACGGTTTCGGGGGTGTCCCTGGTTGTTTTTGCGAGGATCAGTGGGCTTATGTTGACTCCCAGAGCTCCAAATTTGAATTCGTTTTTTCTTACCCGGTTTCGGTGGTGGCACGTGTCACTTGTTGTTGGCATTATGTTGGCCCCCAGAATGGCATTATGTTGGCTCCCAGAATCCCAAATTTACATATGTTTTTTCTCACGCGGTTTCGGGGGTGACACGTGTCACCCGCTGTTTTTTGTGAAGATGAATGGTCTCCAATAATCCCAGAATTTGGTTGTTATCATTTCGGGGGTGACATGGTGTCGCCCGTTTTTGGGTTGGATTGAATGGGTTTATGTTGGACGCGGAGCGCCAGGGCGGTCGCGGGGACGTCCCCGGCGGTCGGGTGTGCCCCGGCTTCTTTTTGTTTTTTAAATCTGTGCACTACAGCGCTGGAATATCCTTTGTACATCTGTCCCCCTCAGTTTTTTAAACAACCGTTTTTGTTTGATATATCTATATCGATTACACATGAAATTTCGAAGCTCCGCACGGATTTCCCGGATCGGCGCCTGGGCCCGCCGGCGGCGCTTCTGGCGCCGCCCTTGGCGCTCCGGGGCGGGGGTCCAGCGCCGATCCGGGAAACCCGCGCGGACTTCCGAGACAGTGTGTGTACATTTTAGGCGATGCTTAAGAAAACCCAAGTTTTCGGCCAGAGTCTCGATTATTCTTAACGTTTCAATGTAAAACCTAAGGTTTTAATAGAAATGCTTGGTTTTTATTCAAGTTCTGAGACTATGAATTTCTTAACCCATGATTTCTTAAGCATTTCGCAGGGTGTATGCACCTGTTTCTGTCTTTTGGCCTCCAGCTGGGGCTGTTCTCAGGCCCCCAGACCAGGATTGATCTGGGGCGAAGGATTACCCTCAGGAGAGCGGTCGAGGCCTCTGGAGTTGCGAATTCCGTCGGCGGATGTCAGGGGGGGGGGGGGCAAGGCGAGGGGAGGGTTCAGGGGCAACGCTGTAGTGTCCATGTCCTGAGATGCCGCCCCTCCCCTCGGGGCGCCGGGTGTCATCCTGGCATTTTCCACGCGGTCCTGTCGGTGCCCCCCCGTTGCCCCTCAGGGACGGCCTGCCTGACCTCCTGCAGGGTCCGTAGGGGTGCCTCTGAGGAGCGGCGGGAGGGGGTCTCCGAGGAGGCCTCTCGGGGGGCGGGGGGGGGCTGCTCAGAGAGGCCCCCCTCTCTGAACTCCTTCCGGCGCCCTTTCTCGCAGCCGCTCTCCCATTTGTTCGTGCAGTTTTTCATGCGCAGGTAGCTCTGACGTCTCTTCGTCGTCTCTTCTTCGGTCGTTACTTCGCCGTCGTCTCTCCGTCGTCGCGTTGTCGTCTCGTCTTCTGTCATGTCGTCCCTTCGTCGTCTTCCATCGTGTCGTCTCTTTGTCGTTTTCTGGTTTCGCTTGCGATAGGGTTCTTTACGGCTGGTTTGTAAGAAGTGCGCAGGTAGATCTACCGCGTCCCGCCTGTTGCTGCTAGACGCTTCGTGTCCCGCGTCGCCGCCGACGAAAGACAGGTCAGACGACCCACTCCCGTTTGGATGCCTTTCTAGGGAGATTGAAGTTAGCACCTGCACTGGTGTATCCGTGGTTGAAAACGGGCCCAATGGGGAATCATCCCGTGAACTTCGCTGAATCCTGCGGCATCCTTCTCGGCCTTGCTAGATATGATTCAATCTTAGGCTTACTATTCAATCCGGCGTAGTGGCCCCTGAATCGGGCTCACTATGTTCAATATTTTTACTGGTTCTCACGAAGACTTTCCAGAAGTTGTTTTAGTAGTCCCCTGCCCCTTCCAGAAGGCCCCCCCATCGGGCGGGTCTAGGACAGGGATGCATCGTTCCAGAGCGTGCTGTAACGCTCTGAGAAGGCCGCGGTGCCCGATGCATCGGCCGCGGCGCCCGATAAATCCTCCAGAACCGCCGAATCTCTCAGATCCCCGCTTCATCCTTGTCCGATTCTGTCCCTGTCCTGGCTTCGTCTAGTTCGGGGAACAAGCCATGACATAAACATTGAATCTCGGAGGTCCACGCCGGTTTCTTGGATCTGAGCTGGGTCATTCTCCCTGAACGCGCAGCGCGCGCCTGGGGCGGCGCCGGAGGCGCCGCCAGGGGGGCCAAGCGCCAGGGGGCCAAGCGCCGGGACGTATCGGGCGCCGCTGCCTTCTCAGAGCGCTGCAGGACGCGCTGGAACGATGCATCCCTTCGATGCCCGTTTTGGGGACCTTCCTGGGGGCCACCTAATGGATCTGTTCGACTCAGGTTCGACTCAAGTTCGACTCAGGTTCGACTCAGGTTCGACTCAGGTTCGACGCAGGTTCGACTCAGGTTCGACGCAGGTTCGACTCGGGTTCGACTCAGGTTCGACGCAGCTTCGACGCACGAGTGGAGCGAGTGGCTCCAGGAAGGTCCCCAGAATGAGCATCTAACATCCCTGTCCTGGACACGCCCGGTGAGGGGGGCTACTGCTAAGTCGGGCCGGTCCCTCTGCAGGGGGGATGCTCCAGCGTGGCGAAAGCATAGTCCGGGGGCGATGTCTGAGTTCTGCCGGGCGCTCTTTGGAACATGGTTCGGCTTTTTTTCTCTCCAGGTTTCGCCCAAAAGGCCCCCCCCTGTAGGGGACGGGCCCGACCTAGAAGGCTACCGATGGGCCCACGCCGCCCCCGTGTCGCCCCGCCCCCTGCCGCGCGGGCCGCCCAGAGGCCTCGGACCCTCGAGGCGGCTCCGCCGTGCAGGCGCTGGCGGCCTGCAGGGCGCAGATCGCGGCGCTCGTGGAGGACAACGCGGCGCTCTCGCGGTCCCTGGCGCGGCGCTCGCGGGCGAGCCCGGGAGGGCCGCCGGGGGAGCCCGAGCCCGGAGCACTGCCGCCGTGAGGCGGCGGCGCGCGAGAAGCGAGCGCCGCGAGCTCACGGGCGGGAGGGGTCCTCCGGGAGAGCGAGCCCCCCCATCGCGTCGTGGGAAAAAAGCGCGCACCGGGAGGTGTTGTGCTCATTTCTCGGCTGCCGGGGGCCCTAGCCTGGCCCCGGGGCCGTCAAGAACGACTGAGGATGGAAAGTCGGTCCCAGGGAGTGGGTCGAGACCTTTGGGGGTCGACGTTTTGAAAAGATCATGACGTTGTGGGGGGTGGGAATCAGGCCCTGAGGCTGCTTCTCCGCTGTCGGCCCCGGGACTGTCAAGGAACTGCCAGGGATAAAGAGCTGGTTCTGGCAAAAGCCTCTGGGGCCCAGGACCCGTTACCTTCAGGACCCGCTTCATGCCAAACAGGATATTGCGAAGGTTTTACAGCCAGTGCCGCCGATTATGAGCGGGGTACGACAACGACGACGGCCAGGGATAAAGAGCTTGTTCTGGCAAAAGCCTCTGGGCTCCAGGACCCGTTGCCTTCAGGACCCGCTTCGTGCCAAACAGGATATTGCGAAGGCGTTATACAGCCAGTGCCGCCGACCTTGAGTGGGGGACGACGACGACGACAACGACGACGGCCCTGGATGAAGGGCTGGTCCTGGAGAAAGCCTCTGGGGTCCAGGATTAAGGCGGACCTGTCCCTCTGGAGGGGGAAATGTTCAAAAATAGTAGAACAAAAATTAGTGTGGAGACAACTTTGGATCATTTTGGGGCATGTTTGGTACTTTTGTTTTGCGTATGTTTTTAATCAGGGGTGGGCAGAACCCCCACCCTGACACGTCGAATAGTGAATTGTCCGTTTTCGGTTCTCGAGAGGGCGCCGCGGCCGTCATTTTCCAGGCTTGCGCCCGCCAAGTTTGGGCCCGAGGTCGTGTCCACTAAACCACGTTTTACTAAAGGAGATCATGTCCATCCCCGATTTTAATTTTTCGCTCAAAATCTCATGTAGGGGGACAGGCCCGCCTTTAAGTCCAGGACCCATTGCCCTCAGGACCCGCCTAATGCCAAAAGGATGCTTCGCTTCCTTCTCTTCCACCCCGATGCCACTGAGACCGACAGCTGATGGGCAAAATTTCCCGCCACCGCCACCATAGGTAGGAGCGGGAGGGGTTCCTCCTCCTCCTCCTCCTCCTCCTCCTCCTCCGTCTGCTCCTCCTCCTCCTCCTCCTCTTCGTCCTCCTTCCCCCCTCCCTCGAGAGTCGTCTACCTCCTTCCCCCCTCCAACTTTTGGTGGTGGTGGTGGAAAGCAAGCCCATCAACAGCACCTGATCTCTCACGACCTGTGGGACGACCACGCTTTTGGTCGCCCGCGTGGCGTGAGGTCGCCTCGACACACAGACACACACACACACACACACACACACACACACACACACACACACACACACGGGCAAGCGCAGGGGCGCACGGTGTTGCCAGGTTGCACGCATGGCCCAGTGTTGCGACGGCACCACTCCCCGCAGCCTCGGATCGGATCGAGCTCCCCTGCCTGAAAAGGGAACGAGCCTGAGGCACGCAGAACACCACAGTAGCAGTTGTGTGTGCCAGGGGCTCGGCTCGACGCGAGCGGGCACCATTCCATTGCTTCTGGCGCGGGGTCCCCACCCTGCCCCCCCACCCCCCTACTCCCTCTACATCGCCTCTTGCCCCTCCTCCCCCCTTGTTTGCTTTTCTTTCTTCAGGGCGTGAATTACCTACCCCGTTTTCGCTTCCAGGCAAAACCAAGTCATACCACGCGCCTCGTCAAGCGGCCTGACCAGTACAGGCCGTAGTTTGGCATCGCTTGGTTTCTCTTGGAAACGAGGGTGGTCAAAAGCGAGGTAGGTTTGTTTGCCCCCTATTTCTCGTACTCTGGGCTCCTAGTCCGGTCGAGGTCGGCACTTCCCTGCGGGCGGCAGAGAGGAGCCGCCGCTCGTGCGTCCCGTCCGCGGCAGCACCACTCTCGCGCGCTCGCGCCGCTCCAGGAGCAGCGACCCCCGCCTGCGCGGGCCGAGGCGAGCGTGACCCTCGAGAGAGTGCGAAGCCCGACGCCCGGCAGCCGGACGCGTGCGCCCCGAGGCACACCAGTAGGGCACACGCAGGCGTGCGCATCCTCCTCCTCCTCCTCCTCCTCCTCCTCTTCCTCGTCGTCGTCCTCTTTCTCAGAGGAGAAAAGGTTACCCATACCTCTACACTACACTCCCCGGAGAGGTCCGTGGAGTAGCGGTATCGGTACCTTTTGGTTTCCCCACCTCCTTTTCCTCCTCTTCCTCGTCCTCTTCCTCCTCCTCCTCCCCCCCCCTGACGCACCCGATGCAGACCGCCCACGGTCGCACAGCAGTTTGAAGACGGCACGGCACAAGAGCAACGGGGTCGCAGGCGAAGCTTCGGTTGTCTCTGCCTGCGTGGATCAATGTCCGACTCCTCATTTTGTGTTGGATTTCTCAATGTGGTCGCTTGCATTTTCTGTAGGAGGTATGTTGTCTGTGCAACCGCGGGCCCGACATCCTGATATGTTTCAGGACAAGTTCGCTCAAAACAACTGATTGGGCGGCGGGCAATTGCAAGGGCAACGGAGGCAGACAGACACACACACACACATACATCCCAGCACGCACGCACGCACGCAGGCACGCACGCGCGCGCGCACGCACGCGCCCGCACGCACGCACGCACGCGCCCGCACGCACGCACGCACCCAAACACGACCCCCCCCCCCCCCCCCGCCCCGCCCCCCCCCCCCCACACACACACACACACACACACACACACACACCACACACACACACACACACACACACACACACACACACACACACACACACACACACACACACACACACACACACGCACGCGCGCGCGCGAACACACACAAACACACACACCACACACACACACACACACACACACACACACACACACACGCGCCGCCCGCCCGCCCGCCCGCCCGCCCGCCCGCCGCCCGCGCGCGCGCGCGCACGCACGCACGCACGCACGCACGCACGCACGCACGCACGCACGCACGCACGCACGCACCCACCCACCCACGCACCCACGCACCCACGCACCCACGCACCCACGCACCCACGCACCCACGCACCCACGCACCCACACACACATGCACGCACGCAGGCACGCACGCATGCACGCATGCACGCGCACGCGCACGCACGCTCGCTCGCTCGCCCGCGCACGCACGCACGCACGCACGCACGCACGCGCGCACACGCGCACACACACATAAACACACACGCACGCACGCACGCACGCACGCAATCATGCACGCACGCACGGGCGCACGCGCGCACGCGCGCACACACACGCACGCACGCACGCACGCCCTTACGCACACACAAGCACACCCACACATCTACACACACATACACACGCCCACCCCCACACCCACACACCCACACACACACACCCACCACCCACCACCCACCCACCACACCCACCCACCCACACACACACACACACACACGCACACAGACACACCCACACGCACCCACACGCACGCGCACACGCATGCGCACGCGCACGCGCGCACACGCACACGCGCACATGCGCACATGCGCAAACGACACATGCCCAAACGCGCACACGCGCACACGCGCACACGCGCACACGCGCGCACGCGCGCACGCGCACACGCGCACGCGCGCACACGACACACGCGCACACGCGCACACGCGCACGCGCGCACAAGCGCACATGCGCACACGCGCACAAGCGCACACGCGCACACGCGCATACACGCGCACACGCGCACAAGCGCACACGCGGACACGCCCACACGCCCACGCGCGACGCACGCACGCACACGCACACACTCACACACGCACGCGCACACGCACGCACACTTACACACACCGCACACCAACACACCGCACACCACAACACCGCACATTAATTCACCGCACACCAACACACACACACACACCAATACGCACATTCACAGCGACACCAACGCACACCAACACACACACACGCACACACGCACACACCAGCACACACCACCACACACCAACACACGCACATACGCGCACACACACACACACACGCACGCACACACACACACACACACTCGCACATACACGCACACACGCACACTCGCACACACACGCGCGCTCTCACGCACACGCGCACACACGCACGCACCAGCACACACGCACACACGCACATACGCACACACACACACGCACACACGCGCACACACGCACACACACGCACACACGCACACACGCGCACACACGCACACACGCACATACACACACACACGTAGCCATTTTGGCTCAAGATGGTTTGTTCCACAGGGGAACGACTGGATACCGCTAGCCCGCGGCCAGTGCCAGGGCGCTTGCGCCTGGCAGTTTTTGTCCGTGCGCGGGCGACGGGTAGGCTGTGCGCTGCCAGTTCGTCATGTCCAATGGTGCGGCTCAGGCGTCTCAGGCGACGGGTCGTCACGAGAGGGCCAGGTCGGAGCCTCGCTTCAAGGGCTGCGGCTGGGCCAAGGGCAAGGGAGTCGGCAAGGCAGGCAAGACCAACGCCAGCGGCTCAGACCCCGTGGATTACGTCCGCTGCGCGCACTGCTCGTGCATGTGGAACTTGAAGTCCAGGGTCGAGTGCTGCAGCTGCAAGAAGGCGCTCAGGCCCGCCGTTGTGGACGAGTTTGCACGCCCACGGGCAGCTGCTTGGTCCTTTGTGCGGAAGCCGTGGGTGGCGCAGGACGGCGCCTGGTGCGGGGACTTGCCGCCCGCCCCCAGCCCGCCCTCCGACGCCGAGTGCCTCGCGGCGCTGGCGGCGCGGCACCCTGAGCATGGCCAGCAGCTGGAGGCCATCAAACTGGCCGTCGCACCGCCCGTTGCGGCCGCGGCGCTGCCAGATGTGGCCCTCAACCGCGCGCAGGCCAAGCAGCGGAGGGCGCGGGCTACCTTCACGGCCAAGGCCCAGCAGGTCCGCGACGCCGAGCAGTGGCTCCAGGCTTGCCGCGAGGAGGAGCTGCGCGCGGGGGAGGCACTCCTGGCCTGCGACCTGGAGGTGGAGGACGCGTGCAAGGCCGCCGCGCCCAAGGACATCCAGGCGCAGACGCTGGCGGAGCAGCTGCAGCCAGGAGGTGCGTCCAAGCCAGTCGCCGGCCTCAACGTCGCGGCGCTCCTGGAGGAGGGTTTCCAGGTCGAAGCAGGTGACGCCTTCAAGCTCGGCGATCCCGACCTGGACATCACCGACGCCGAGCGCGAGGAATTCAACAGCTCGTTACAGGGTTTCGTCGACCAGGTCAAGCAGCACGTCCGCACCACCTTCGGGGAGGCAAAAGCGCAGCTGGAACAGCGACGCAGCGAGATCGACGCCATGCATCGGCTGCTCCTCGCCAGGCGCAAGCGACCCCGCGCCGAAGCTGCATCCCCAGAGCCAGCCCTCACAGCCCCAGCAGCTGGCCAGGTGGCGCCCGCACGCGAAGGGGATCCGCCTGCAGCCGCGGCCGCCGCCGCCGCCCCCAGCCAGGGCGCGGCCCAGGGGCAGCCTCCTGGGGACAGCGCTGCTGCTGCTGGTGCTGGCCTCGTTGGACCCCCCAACCTCCGCGGCCCCGACGGCCCAGCCAAGGTGGAGCAGCGCAGGCGTGAGTTGGCCCAAGCCACACCCGCCCCAGCAGACGTCATCGCTTGAGCCGTCCCCGCGGTGGCCAGGAGGGGAGCCAGCGGCCAGGCCCAGGGAGCCAAGGAGGGCCCGCTCGGGCCGGCGCGAGAAGGGCATCCTGGTCGCGCGCATGCGGCGCATGGCGAGGCAGTGGTGCCCTGCACCGCGACTGGGAGCCTCGCCTCAGGACCGCCGCCGCTGGGGCTCGTACTGCGTCCCCTACGTTTTCCACCTGCTGGGCTCCATCGAGTACACCGCCATGCTGGACGACCTGGCGGCGGCCTCAGGCAGCGGCTCGCGCATCGCAGAGAGGATGAGGCTAGCTCGGGAGGTGTGTGACGATGCTTGGAATCACCCGATGGGCATCGACGCCAGGCGACTTCCACGGCAGAGGATGGAGGACGCGCAGGCAGACGAGAAGGACGCCTATGAGAAGGAGGTGGCCAAGCAGGTCCGCACTCAGTCGGCGGCTGAGAGGTGGTTCGACCGCCAAACGCAGCAGGCCGCGCCGACGCAGGCCAGCCTCTCCATGGTCTTCGACGACGCCTTACAATGTTGGAGGCTCCTTACCGTCCAGGCCTTCCAGGCTGCCAAGTGCCCGCGGTGGCCTGATGGTGGCCCCCCAGCCCAGGCAGCAGCTCCACCCGAAGACGTCCAGCGCACTTCAGGGGTTGGTTTCTGCGATGGCCCTGGCGAGGCCCCGCAGTTTGACCGCGGTCGTGCTTCAAAGGGCCTGGATCCCAGTCAAGACCCTGCTGGACGTGCCCGCGGCGTTCCCCAGGTGGAGGCCCAACTTTGTTCAGCTGGTGGTCTCTCCAGCACTGGGGCCCAACGTATTTCATCATCCTTCTCGGGCAGGAGGTCGCTTGGAGGTGCTCATGCCCCAGAGGTTTTCTCAGGCAGTGCTGCGCATCGTACTTCAGATGATGAAGAGAGCACTGGGAACCTGACGGCCCGAAGCGACGAAGCTCATTCGGACAGCGAGGGCAGGCCATGCCGGCCACCAGCGGCAGGGGCGCGTAGAGGTTCACGACGGAAGCGCAGCAGCAGGCGCTTCACCTTCCACAGCGTCAATGCCAGCCTCAGTTGGGGCAACGTCGCGACGTACCTCCACGGCGCGGCACACCAGCAGCTCTCCGAGGGCAAGATACCGATCATCGCCTTCCAGGAGCACGGCAAGCGACACCTGTGGGCCGAGGAGAGCGCGCGGGCTCTGCTCCCGCTGGGATGGAGGGCCCTGCCAGTCCCAGCCACCGAGGGACCGAACGGGGGCGCTTCGGCAGGAGTCTTGCTCGCGGTGCCTGCATGTGTCGGCGCCACCCTCGCGCCCGAGCAGCGGCGCTGGGACATCTCCCCCCCTGGATGTGCGGGCAGGCTTTTGATGGCCACGATCGAAGCTAAACACAATGGCAAGTTCCAGGTTTTCTGTGCGTACCGCTTTACTGGTCAGAAGTTGTCATCAGTGGGCAACGCCGCTATCTTATTTGTCATCGCGGCATGGGTGGTCCAGCTCCAGCTACCGTGGATCGTCGTCGCGGACTGGAAGAACCTCCCTGAGGACCTGGAGCGATCGCCGTGGAACAACCAGCTTCGAGGGCGTGCGGTGGCATGGCAGGGTGAAGGCGGCACGAACCGTTCACCGCACGGTGAGCGCGTCATCGACTACTTTTGGATGCATGCCAGTTTCGCGGCCAACATCTCGCCAGCACACATTGATGCGGATGCATTTTACCACCCTCACAGAGCCACATTGGTCGAGTTTCAGAAGCCCTGGTCAGCCTTCACATTCACGAAGCTCGTTCGGCCCAACAAGTTCCCGATCCCTGATTCCAAGCCTCGCCACTTCGACTTGTCGTGCACCGCCGTGCCAGAAGGCTTCGACCCCGAGGCGCAGCCCACCCAAGCTCTGCTGGACGCTACGCGGGCGGCCTCCTGCCGCGCGGCGGAGGAGGAGCTCATCCAGCGCTTGGGGTTTGACCCCGCCAGCAGGGAGGGGGCGCAGTGTCGTGGCCGAGGTGAGCCGCCTCGTTTCATGCGGTGCCCGTTGCTCCCCACACATGCCGAGGCGGTTGCATCATGCGGGGGCGCCAAGCGCTGGAGGTGGTTGGCGAACGAGCTGGCGTGGCTGGGCATCATCGAGGTGAAGCTCCTCCTGGCCGCCCCCGCTTCCGACCGCGCCCGCACCGCGCTGCATCAGCAGCGGAGCGCCTCCATCCGCAAGTTGCGAGATCGTCTGAGGCACTACGTGTTGCTGGAAGGTATCGGGGAGCTGCAGGATTTCTTCGAGGTCTTCACCCCCCGCGAGAGGCAGTGCGAGGATGTGCAGGAGCTCTCAGCTTGGCATCTGTGGTGCAGTCACCACGCCTCCTACCTGGAGCGGCAGATGTGCGTGGCGCGGCGCCAGTCCTTCAAGCAGCGTTTTGAGGACGATTTCCCTGGTTCGCAAGGGCTCATGCACAGGATCACCAAATGGCGCCAGGCCTGGCAGGCTCCCAAGGGCAGCATTTCCAAGCAACAGCTGCCAGCGGCGCCACAGGACGCCGCGGACCAGGAGCTGCGCGACTGGACCAAGGTCTGGGCCACGGGTTCAGGTTACCCCAAGCCACGGCGAGGACTGCAGCCCGTGGCGGTCGACCCGCCCAGCGCCCACCAGCTGAGGCGCCTGGCGCAGCGCTTCAAGGCCAGGACGGGCATGGGCGTGGACGGCTGGCAGCCCAAGCTCTGGGCCTACCTCACGGACGGCGCTCTTTCCGTGCTGGCCGCCTTGTTGGCCTGGTGCCAGCAGCTGGGGAGATGGCCATCGCAGGTGCACCTCTTGCTCGTTTTCATCATTGAAAAGCTTGACGGGCGTGGGCGGCCCATCATATTGTTGCCTGGCCCATGCAGGATCTGGGAGGCCTGACAGCTCCCCTCCATTCGACGGTGGTTGGCAGTACACCCCAGGAACTACGACTACACGGCAGCTGGGCAATCGTCAGAGCGGGCATTGTGGAAGGCGCTCCTGGACGGCGAGCTGGTCGATGGCACAGGCATTCGTGCCGCGACTATGTTGGCCGATTTGGCTAAGTGCTGCGAGAAGGTCTCTCATGTACGCATGTGGTGGCTAGCGGCCTGGTTGGACGGCCCGCTGGAGGTGGTGGCCCTCGCCTTGGAGAGCTTCGCTTTTGGACGTGTCATCCGTTTTGGTGAAGCTTGCTCAGGAGAGGTCCTGTCGGCCACTGCGCTGCCAGCCTTTTTGCCCCCACCTTCCTCCGTTTCTACCTCACCATGTGCTTGGGTGACCTGCTGCAGGTTTTCCGAGTCACGCTCTACCTCTTCGTGGACGACATCGCCTTGCGAGTCATGTCGACCGAGGTGCGTGTCTTGCAGATCCTGCCGCGAACCACGCGGCTGTTGTGCTGGATGATGGAGTCCTTCCTGGGCCTGGAGGTGGCGAGGGCGCGGGACGGGGCCAAGGACAAGTGCTCGTTCTTGCAGACGTCCAGTCCGTCAGCAGGCCTCCAGCAGCCCATGGCTGTCCTCGGCGTCCCGCCCAGCAAGTCCGAGAGATGGCTTGGCACCGACTACGGCACCAGCGTCACTGCCGAGAGCCTCTCAGCCCCTGTTCGGCACGCGCGCCTCAAGACAGCCAGGAAGCGCTGGCCCAAGGCTCGAGGCCTGCCCGGGGCTAGTGGCGGCAAGCTCAAGATGGTCGTAAGGCAGGGCCTTGGAGCTTCGATCGCCTATGGGGCCAGAGTGCGGGGCACGCCCAGACCCATCGTTCGCTTTACTCAACAGAAGGACCGCGCCATCCGCAGGGGCGCCGCGGCTCTCACGCCCCGCGTGCCGCATGACGGTCTGGACCCCAGTTGCGCCGACATTCTCGTCTTGGCACCGGTGTTGGCGTGGGCGCGGGAAGCGTGGGATCACCCTGAAGGCCGCCGTGCCCGGGCCACAGCTTGGGCCAGAGTCCAGCACCAGCTCGGGCCGTTCGCCGAGGCGGGCCCCCAGGACCTCTGGCAGGTGGTCCGCGGCCCCGCGGCCGCCACCGCGGTCACCGTGCGGGCTCACGGCTGGCGCATGCCGTCGGCCTTCGTGGTCATCCTGCCGCCGAGAGGAGGAGTGCTACAAGGGGCCGACGTCCACCTGGATATGCTGCAAGTGTGCCCCAAGTCCGTGGGGGGGGGGGCGCTCCTCTACGCAGCCCGTGGCCGTGCCCTAGCTCAGTGGACAGCGGCCAAGCCAGAGCGCGCTGCGCTCCTCCCCGCGCCCTGGCTGTTTCCCGCGCGGCAGCTGGTCGAGAGGCGCAAGCGGGATGGCTGGCTGCAGCACCACGTGGACGCGGTCAAGAAAGCGGTGCTCGGCGGCTACCTCTCGCAGGAGGCCCTGTTCACGTCGGGCCAGGCGGGCGCGCCCTACTGCCAGCTCTGCGACGGCTCCAACGTGTTCGGCACCATGCAGCATTACTATTGGCAGTGCAGCGGCCCGACGTGCGCCTCAGCGCGGGACCAGCTTGCAGCACATGACGCGGCTCCCGCCTTTCGGGATGTCTGTCACCTGGGGGCCACCGCCTCCGCCTCTGAAGCGGCAAGGTGGCTGCGGGGGAGAGGTCTGCGGCGGGCCCCCTGCAACGGCCTGCGGCGGAGAGGTCTGCGGCGGACCTCCCCGCGCAGCGCGTCTACTAGATCGTCGAGGGGGCGGGCGCCGAGCTCAACGGCGCGCTGGTCTCCGACGGCTCGGCCAAGGGCCTGGGCGACCTCAGGCGCGGAGGCTGGGCGGCGCTACAGTGCGCGGCGCTCGCCCACGACGTGGAGCAGGGCCTCTACGGCCCCCTGCCGTTCCCTGACCCGAGCTCGGTGCTTGCAGAGTTGCGGGGGTTGCTCCACCCCCTCAGGCACGCGGGCTTCGCCACGACCATCATCATCGACAACGCTCAAGTGGTCCAAGGGCTGGCCAGAGGCAGGGCGTGGTGTTGTGCGGCGGCCAGACCATGCGCGCACGCGTGGGCGGCGATCTGGGACCGCCTAGACGACGCGGGCATCACCCCAGGCCAGGAGCTGTTCATCATCAAGGTCGCCTCGCACATATCACAGGTCAAGCGCCAAGCTCTGCCAGAGGAGGTCCAGCTTCATATGGGACACAACGACCTCGCCGACATCTGGGCTAAGAAAGGGGCGGGCCTCAGCGCGCCGCCAGAGTGGGCCACGACGCAGCTCAAGCAGGAGCTCAAGGCCACCAAGCGCGCGCTGGAGTACATCGGTCATTTCAGGGTCCTCCTAGGCGGCGCCAAGCTGGCCGCGCCCCGCCCTCGGCAGCAGCAGCAGGGCGCCAACGCGCCCTCGGCAGCCCGCCCCAGGACGGCACCCAAGCACCCGCACGCCCTGGCAGCTTGCCGGGGATACCACAAGTGCGTCAACTGCGGCAAGGTGGCGCGCACTCGTCTGGCGGCCTTCCTTCCGCAAGAGTGCCGTGGTCGACCCCGAGGGCTTCAGGGCAAGATCGTCAAGAGTGCGGTCAAGGAGGGCAGGGTGGCGGTCCCCCTACTGGCGGCGGCTGGTGCAACTGGGCACTCCGCAAGCCAGCGCCCAGACCACGAGGCCCAGGACGAGGGGCAGCGCTTGCCAGACCGCAACCCCTCGCAGGGGCCGCCTGCTCAAGATCCTCTCTGGGCGCCACTGGTAGCAGCCAGGGCGGCCGTGCGCAGGATGGAGGCGCTGCCAGACGGGCCTGAGGCATGGGCGTGCCGCCCCCCGAGGTCAGCCCAGAGCAGCACCACGTGAGGGCGGTCATAGACGACGCTGAGGCCTGGGCGTCCGTTTGGATCGACAGGTTCGACCTGGACGACTACACCAACGAGTGGGACTTTCGCACGTGGTGCTCCGAGTACCTGGAGATGCTCCTGGGTACCGAGCCGTGGACTCCCGTCCGAGAGCACCTACTTCGGGGTAACCCTGGGCGCACGGTGAGGCAGGTGGTTGGCGACATGCGTGCCACGTCCTGGACGCGGGCGGAGCCTGCCAGGCAGGCACAGTTTGCCAGTATGAGGCCCGACTCGGGCTTAACCAGCAGGCAGCGACGGCGGCTCCTACGGCATCACCGTGACGTGCTGCACCAGATCAGGGCGTGCTTCAGGAGCTTGCTGGGGGACCGCGCTCCACCTCAGACGGGTGCGTGGCATCAGTGGGTCTACGAGCCTCTCTCCTCGGATTCCGACGACCAAGGTGGAGTCGTGGATAGTCGAGATCAGGAGTCTGCCCACAGCGGCGACGGCGGCGAGGTGGACGTGGCCCTCGTGCACAGCGACGGGGAGGTCGTGCGTGCGGGCGAGCGGCAGGCGCCGCCCCAGCAGCAGCGGCCGTCACCTTCGTGGGCGTCGGGCTCGGCGGCGTCAGAGCGCACGTCGTCGCACAATCCCGACCTCGCCTCCAGGGCACCCCTTCCGCAGGAGGCGGGGGTGCCAGCGAGCGGGGCGGGGCGGGAGGGTGTTTTGCGGATCCGCAGTGCTGCCCTGGAGGCTCGGCCTGCTCGTTGTGACGGTGCCGACCGCGGTGAAGAGGACGAGCTAGCTGGTTCCCTGGACGTGGGAGGCGGTGGCGCTACGGCGGAGCCCTCGTCTGCGTCGGCGGCGGGGGCGGCATCGTCGGCGCCAGCGCGCGGTCCGCGCGGGTGGGGGGCCTCTGCCCAGCTCGCCAGCCGCGGGCAGCCTGCGCTGGCGGCGCCACGAGCGGCCTCGGCGGAGCCGCGGCCACACACCGTCGAGATCGTCGGCAAGTACGTGGTCTGCGTCATGTGTGGCGCGTACTACAGCTCGGTGGCCAGGGCCACCAATGGCCCCTGCAGGCGGCTCGATCCAAGAGACCCAGGGGATCGTGAACGTCAGAGCCGGATCAGCCGCATCAAGCGAGGCCAGGACCCAAAGTCTGGCAAAGATCTGAGGTGAGGCCGTTGTGTTCGTTCAATGATCTGGCTCTCTTGTGCTGTTGCCCTCCTTGGCGCGGCGGTGTCCGTGAGCTGAGGGGCCTGGGCGGGTTGGCCGCTCGGGGCGCCCGGGTCTCTCTTCCCGCGTCGCGGGTGGCCTGGGCGTAGCGCGCGCTGTTTCTCGGCCCCCCTTGGCGCCAGGCTGAGGGGCCTAGGGTGGGGCGCGGCCTCGCGGGGGTCACCGCGCTCTGCGCCCTGGGGAGTTGGCGGGGGCGCTGCCCGCGACTCGGCCTCGCCAGGCTCGGAAGGTGGCGGAAGGTCGCTCGAGGGCCCAGCGCACGGGCCTGGAGAGGCGTCGACGCCCCAGGCCGCTGATGCACCAAAACACCAAATACACACGCACGCACACACACCCGCGCACGCGCGCACGCGCACACGCGCACACGCACGCACACACACGCACACACGCACACACACGCACACACGGACACGCACGCGTTTTCACGCGCGCGCACCCACACACACGCACGCACATGCACGCACGCACACGCACACACACGCACACACACACACGCGCACACACACGCACACGCACGCACACACACGCACACGCACACACACACACACACGCCACACAGACACAGCGCACCAACACATTGCACACCAACACAAACACACATTCACACCAGCACACACACACCCACACACACACACCAACACACACACACACCAACACACACCACTACACACACCAACACACACACACGCCCACACGCCCACCCGCCCACACGCCCACACGCCCACGCGCCCACACGCACACACGCACACACGCACACACGCACACGCACACACGCACACACGCACACACGCACACACGCACTACGCATATACGCACACAGGCACACACGAACACGCGCACACACGCACACACGCACACGCACACACGCACTCACACACACACACACACACCGCGCACCCGCGCACCCGCGCGCCCGCGCAACCCGCGCACCCGCGCACGCGCGCACGCGCGCAACGCACACACGCACACGCACACGCACACATGCACGCATGCACACACGCACAAACACCCACACACGCGCATACACACGCACACACACACACACACACACACGCACACACACACACACACTCACACACGCACACACACTCACGCACACACGCACACACACACTACACGCACACACACACATCCACACACACACACGCACACACACGCACACACACACACACACGCAGCACACACACACACGCACGCACATACGCACCACACCACACGCACACACCACACACGCACACACGCACACACGCACACACCACACGCACACGCGCCACCCGCTCACCCGCGCACCCCCCCCACCCACCCAACCACGCACGCGCGCACGCACGCACGCACGCACGCACGCACACACACACACGCACGCACGCACGCACGCACGCACACACACACACACACACGAACGCACGCACGCACGCACGCACGCACGCTTGCACGCACGCTCGCACGCACGCTTGCACGCACGCGCGCACGCACGCACGCACGCACGCACGCACGCACGCACACACGCACGCACGCCCGCCCGCACGCACGCACGCACGCACGCACACACACGACACCCCCACATCCAGTCCTGAGGGCTCCGAACACTTTTGGGGCCACACGTGCGCCGCCCATGTTGGGGCAACACCAGTTTCACGTACTTTCGGTAGCAACGCCAGGGGAGTCTTGTATGTCTTCGCAACCTCGACTTTAACGCGCGCTGGCATTTGGAAATTGATGAGGAATCGCCGACATAGCGTCTACCTGGCACTTATCTAGCGTCGACTGTTGTCGACCTTCACGATCCGCAAGGGTGACAATTTGATGCGGGCGGCTCCCAGGACTCGCCGCAGAGCGCAGCCAGGCGCGAGAAGCTAGCTTCCGCCAGATCTCGCCCGCCAGCGCCTGCGAGGTGACCCGGTGGTCTTCCCCCTTGACATGTACTGTGGCCCTGCGCTGGGGTGCGCTGCCTCGCGCATGCTGGGTCGCCGTTGCCGCGCCCGCTGCTCGCGGACCAGTCCGCCCCGCGGCCGTCGCTGCCGCGCTCCTCCTGCCGCGCGGCCTGCGCCGTGCCGGCCGCCTCCTGGGCGGCGCGGGGGAAGGAAAGCAACGTCCGTCTCTTGTGACGAACGAACAACACACAAACACACGCACACACGCACACACACCACGCGCGCGCACGCACGCATGCACGCACGCGGGCACGCACGCACCCACGCATGCGCGCGCACAAATACGCACACACGCACACGAGCACACGAACACACGAGCACACCAGCACACACACCACACACACACCACACACATACATACCATACACACCATGCACAATACACACACCATACACGCCGTACACACAGTACACACCATACACACCATACACACCGTACACAAACCAGACGCACACACACGCACACAGGCGCACTCACGCACGCAATGCACGCACGCACGCACGCAAGGTACGCACGCACGCTCGCACGCTCGCACGCACGAAAGCGCGCTCGCCCGCCCGCACGCACGCACGCACGAGCGCACGCGCAGCACGCACGAGCGCACGCGCACGCGCACGCGCACGCGCACGCGCACACGCACGCACGCACGCACGCGCACGCGCACGCGCACGCACGCACGCACGCGCACGCGCACACGTACACGCGGACGCGGACGCGCGCGCGCACGCGCGCGCGCAGCGCACGCGCACGCGCACGCACACGCACACGCACACGCACACGCACACGCACACGCACACGCACACGCACACGACGCGCACGCGCACGCGCACGCGCACGCGCGCATGCGCACGCACGCGCACACGCACACGCACGCGCACACGCACACGCACACACGCACACGCGCACGCGCACGCACGCGACGTGCACGCGCACGCGCACGCGCATGCGCACGCGGACGCGCACGCACGCGCGCAGCCAGCGCGCACGCACGCACGGCCACACACAAACGCACACAAACACACACACACACACACACACCGCCCGCCTGCCCGCCCGCCCGCCCCCCCCCCCCCCCCCACCCCCCCCCACGCGCGCACACACGCACACACGCACACACACGCACGCACACGCACACGCACACGCACACGCACACGCACACGCACACGCACACGCACACGCACACGCACACACACGCACACGCACACACGCGCACACGCACACGCACACGCACACGCACACGCACACGCACACGCACACGCACACGCACACGCACACCACGCACGCACACGCAAACGCACACGCACACGCACGCACACGTGCACGCACGCACGCACGCGCGCGCGCACGCACGCGCACGCGCACGCGCACACGCACACGCACACGCACGCAAACGCGCACGCACACGCACACGCACGAACGCCCCCGCACGCGCACACACACACACACACACACACACACACACACACACACACACACACACGCACACACGCACACACACACACGCACGCACGCACGCACGCACGCACGCACGCACGCACGCACACACACACACACACACACACGCGCACACACGCACACACACACACACGCACACACGCGCTCACACGCGCACACACACGTACACACACACGTACACACACACACGCACACACGTACACACGCACACACGCTCACACGAACACGCGCGCACACGCACACACACACACCAACACACACACACACATACATCGGCGTTACAAAAGTTTTGCCATACATTGAGATCCATCTTGCATCAGCAAGGGCAAACTCCGCCCAGTGGGATTTCTCAAGCCGCGTGATCCTACGTCGGGATGTTAATCCACCCCGTCAATTCTACACTATAATAGAAGGGGGTGGGATCCCACTTTTGAGAGTTTTTTTGTTCTTTGATCCGACCGCTCTTTTTCAGTGCGCTAGGATTCTAGTGGGGAAGGGGGGCAACTCGGCGCGGTCGGGACAGCGGCCAAACTCTGTCCGCCCGCCCACGCGGAAGTAAGACACGAAACCCATGCCATCGTCTAGCTCTCATGAGACGTGGCGAACTTTTGCAACGGCGTAGTATACCTATAGGGGGCGTCTCCCCGTCGCGAGGGAGCCCAGACGATCTGGTCCGCTCGAGGCCGCGTTGGTCGCGCCTCTGCGGCGCGCCTGACACGACTCAGTGACAGGGAGGGGCGGCGAGCGGTCATCCGATGACGCGCGGGCGGGTTCAGGAGGCTATTTGTATTTGGGGAAGTCTCCCAAGCCTCATCCGGAAGGCAAGAGGGTTTCTGAGAAGCCCCGCCGCCCTCTGTGACGGCCTTTCCTCCTCTCGCTTCCCCCTCGGCGCGCCGTCGACCAGAGCCCTGCTCCCGGCAACGCGGTGACTAACTTGTGGTTCGGCAAGCGGGATGTGCAACTCCGCCTCCACGGTGGTGACGGAGAGGGAGTGGTCTTTTTGCGCTCTTGGATTGATGCAGAAGCCGCGCATTTTCACATGGAAGGATCGCCCGGCCTGAAGTGAAGCACGGGTTCCGCTTCGATGCACATCTACCGTGTCGGATCCTCTTCGTCGCCTTTTGGGTGACCGCGGCGCGTGCGCGATGTGAGTCCGCGAAATTGTTTGAGGTCGGGTTGGCTTAGGCCTGGCCGCCTGTCAGGTTGCCGATTTCCCTGCCGCCGATCTCAGCCGCGAGGACCAGAGCGACCGAACGCAGCCGCAGCCCGAGCTCGCTGTCGCCAAGTTCGCCGTACAGCACAGCTTACGCAAGGTGCACGACCAATATGCACCGTTTCTGCAGCTGCGCCGTCAGCGTCAAGATGGCACCGTCGGCAGCCGTTTCGGCACGTTGACATGACGCCGTGCGCTCAACATCCGAGCGTCTGTCCGTTGAAGGATCGCGCGCGCGGCGGCCCATCCCGTCCGCCGTCGTTCGCTCCGATGTGGTTTGTACGGATTCGGGCCAAGGTGGCTACGGACTGTTTCTCTCCTTCTCCTTCTTCCTTTGGTTCCCCTCCCTCCACCGTCTCTCCTCGTCGTCTTCCGCCCTCACCATTTTGGTCTCCTTCCTCCCCCTACTGCCCTCCCCTTCCTCATCTTCCTCCCGTCCTCCAGGGGAGAAGCGGGAATAACATGAGGAAGATGCGTGCAAGGAGGGCGACGAGAAGGAGGGATGGGGGAGGATCACAAGGATCCAGCGGGAAAGTATGAGGGAGGAGGATATGGGGAGGCAGGACCCAGGACCCGAGCGGGAGGAGGAGGAGGAGGAGGAGGAGGAGGAGGAGGAGGGCGACGAGAAGGAGGGATGGGGGAGGATCACAAGGATCCAGCGGGAAAGTATGAGGGAGGAGGTTATGGGGAGGCAGGACCCAGGATCCGAGCGGGAGGAGGAGGAGTGCGGGGAGGAGGAGGCGGAGGAGGAGGAGGAGGAGGAGGAGGGGGAGCAGGAGGAGCAGCAGGAGGAGCAGCAGGAGGAGGAGGAGGAGGAGAAGGAGGAGTTGGAGGAGGAGAGTGCGGGGAGGAGCTTGTTCCCACGGCCAGCCAAGAGGGGAGCAGCGCCAGCGGCAGCGAGGAGAGCAGAGGGAGCCCGAGCGGGCAGCGGCAGCGGGCGCGCTGGCGTGGCAGTGGCAGGCGCGCTGGCAGGGACGACGGCCAGCGCGGGCAGGGAGCACGCGGATGGCGAGGTGCGCCGAGAGGCACTCGATGCAGGGGCGCCCTCGAGGGCGCGAAGTGGTTCGAGCTTCGCGGGTCGGCTCCGGTTCCTCCTCATCCCGCTCTTCTCCCTTGGGAGGGAGGCGGCGCGAGAGCGCCAGGTGATTCGCGCTTCGCGCAGCGCGCAGCGCGAAGTTGGGAGCTCTTGTTGTTGTCTAGCACCGTGGGCTGAACATCTCTGGAAGAGCCACTCGCAGGGGCCTCGGAAGTCAGGAGAGGAAAGAACACACAGACACAATTAATCGTCGCTTCCCTGGAGAATATGCGAAAGTATAGGGAAGTGTGGGGGGGGAAGACGAAAAGCCCCAAAATACTGGAGAATCATGGGAATCCTGTCATTCGTGTCCATTCATTGGTGTGTCCCTGGGCCCCCTTCAGGCAGGAGGCGACGGCCGGCGCGCCCGGCGACGCCCGGCGGCACCCCGCGGCCACGCGCCTCCGCAGGGCGTTTGCCCCGCGGCCCCCTCGGCGCGGGCGGCGGCCGCGGCTGCGGGGGCCATGGGCGACCCGAGGGCCACCGCGATCAAGTCGGCGCTGGTGGCGCGAGGGACGCTACGCGGCACCCAGCCGCTCGAGGAGGAGGAGGACGAGGAGGAGGAGGAGGAGGAGGAGGAGGAGGAGGGTAAGGAGGCACCCAGCCGCTCGAGGAGGAGGAGGAGGATAAGTGTAGGCCTCATGACGTGCCGACCTACTTCAGCCTTGGCCACCAGAGAGAATTTCGAGCACCGGCAAAAAGTGCCGAAGCTCGAGGGTTTCCACGTGTCTTGCCCTGGGAGACATTGTTTCTACACTCTTTCGACACTCTTTCGACACTCTTTCGACACTTTCCCGTGTGCTCGAAAGTATTTCTGTGATGTGGTCCTTAAGTACGATGGGCGCAACATTAATCTAGGCCTCCTAGATAGGGTCGGAGTAGATGGGGTCGGAGGATCGCGCCGCATCGCCGATGCATCACCAATGCGGCTCGATGTGGAGCCCGATGTGCTTCACGTCGACGTCGCGATGCATCGCCGACATCGGCGATACGTCGCCTGTGCATCGCCAATGTATCGCCGATGTATCGTCGATGCGGCGCGATCCTCCGACCCCATCTACTCCGACCCCATCTAGGGGGCCGCTAATAAAGGTGGGGGGCAGAGAGGACGGGGGGTGCGCCGCTTGCGAACTTGAAGCCGACACCACAAGCAGCTCTCCACGCTTCGCGAAGCCCCACCATCCCCTTCGGAATCCCTGCCCATGAGAGTGGACGAGGAAAGGCACGAAGGACACATATAGTGAAACAAAGCAGGCAACAAGGGTGAACAGAGTGATCTGTGGGAGCGAGGGGCCCGCGTGGGGGCGAGGGAAGGACGAAGAGGAGGAGCAGGAGGAGGAGAAGGAGGAGGAGCAGGAGGGGGAGGAGGAGGAGGAGGAGGAGGAGGAGGAGGAGGAGGAGGAGGACCAGGAGGAGGAGGAGGAGGAGGACCAGGAGGAGGAGGAGGAGGAGGAGGAAGACGATGACGACCACGACCACGACGACGAGGAAGAGGAAGAAAAGGAAAAGGAAGATGAGGAGGGCAAGGACGAGGCCGAGGCCGAGCAGGAGGAGGAGGACACCGAGGACGAGAGCAGAACTCTAAAACTCGCTTCTTGGAGCTCTCTCGGGACTCTTTTGGGGGATCTGGGGGTCCTCTTGGGGCTCTTGTGTGGAGTCTAAATGCCTTCTTGGGGCCCTCGAGCCCCTTTGGGGGGCACTTGTGGCAATTTGAAGGCCATCGATCAAAGGTGGGAGGGGTCTTCGACTTTGCCCTTCCCCCCCCCTTCCCCCGCACACACACACACACACTCACACACACAGGGACATACACACACAAACACACACAAACACACACACACAGGGGCCATCAACATCGCCTCTTGTGGCGCTCTTGGGGCACTCTTAGGGCGCCCGTGGTCGCTCTGGGGGCCGTCTGCCGGGTCTTTGGGGCCCCTCTTGCGCATCTCTTGGGCCAACTAGGGGCCATCTTGAGGCTTTGAAAGTGCACTGGAAGCGCAAAGGCAAGAAGGCACACATTAGTGATTTCCCCAGGCTTCTGAAAGAGTTGTTCCTACTACGATGTCTTGAGGAGGCTCCGAGATCACTTGGAACCGTCTTGTGTCCCTCGTCGATTTGTCGGCGGTTCTCTTGAAGATATGTCGGAAGCTATCTTGAACACCGTCGGCTATCTTGAGCCATCGTGGACCATCTTGGAACATCAGAGGCTCTCTTGGAGCCATCTTGGTCCATCTTGGACGCCCTGACCGATCGCAAGCGAACCCCCACCAGGAACCTCAAAGAGGGGGTATGTAAACCTCCCAGAAGGGGAGGGGTAGATCAACCTCCCGGAATGGAACATGGCTTTGGAAGCGGAAATGGAGAATTCGTTAGACCACCTTAGTTCAAAGGGCTCGTTGAATATGAGGAGGAGTTCGGAGGGTGGGAGAGGGAGAGGGGAGGGGGGGCGCGATGAGTAGAAGAGGGGGGAGGGTGATCAGGAGGCCGTCAGGAATTATCTTGTCTTTTGCAGTGCTGTTTTTGTTGGTGGCGTCCACCCACACCCGTCCGAACCAGATCCGAATCCCCGCAGTACCCTGCCATGCAATCCGTTCGTCCTGCCATGGGCAGGACGAACGGAACGGAAGAACACATTTGCGATCCAAGATGAGATCTTAAGCATATTATGCCACATAAGTTACGTTGGATGTGTGTCGCTCGCCGCGCAGAGGGAGTCTTCCCTCAACCCTGCTTTTGGGGCACTGGCTGGCGGCTGGACCGACTACGTATCGGAGGGTCATTATCATAAGCGCAAGTAGTGTGAGAAGGAGGAAGACGGAAGGACTGAGCATGCGGACGAGGTGGAGGAGGACGAGGGGAAAATCGCTACGCAGGAGGAACATTGGATGATCATGCTGTGGGCGCGAGTAGAGATCCTGCCTGCCGTTGGAATCGTAATTTCACTGTAGCCATTTGGTTCAAGATCTTCCGCTCAAGTCCACTGAGCCATTAGGACGGGGACGTTTTACATTGAAACAGATTCTGGCCAGACCAATCCTGGGGCCAGAATCGGTGTGTACGCCGACCTGGTCTAGCCAGGGCGGCGCGTAAACCGTCCCTGGGCCCAAGATGGTCCTGGACCGGGCCGGTGCCGGTGTAGAGCTCCTGTCGTCCGCTCCATGTCCGACGCGCCGCGCTATCGTTGCGTCGGATGGCAGATTCTGCAGAGGGGTGCAGCAGCTACGACGGGGTCAACGCCGTGCTCCGCGGCTTGCATGCCGCGCGCTCGGCCCGCGCTGGTGCGCCGGCTGCGTTGGCGGAGCTTGCCCCAGCCAGTGGCCCGGTGCAGCAGGACGCTGAAGGTGCAGAGGATGCCGAGTGCCTGGCTGAGACGCTGCGCTTCGGGCCCCAGGACGTGGTGCTCTGCAGTGAGCACGGGCCCCGCGCGCTGTGCACGCGGTGCTGTGGCTTCGCTGCTGGCGTGGAGGTGCCCCGAGCTGCCTACGACGCGTTCTGCCGCGCCTACAGCGAGGTCGCCTACTTTGAGCGGCCCGCCGCCTCGGAGATGAGGCAGCTGGCCGTGCCCGTGAGGAGCCTGGCTGCCGGGGAGGTGCTCTTCGCGCCCTTCGCGGCGCTGGTGCGCCAGCTCGGGCCGCGCCCCGGGGAGCTGTTCCTCGACCTGGGCAGCGGCACTGGCCGTGCGGTGGCTTCACATCGCTCGGACGTGTGCATTTTTCCCTCGGCGAGGACCATCGAGGAGCATCCTCGATCATTCGGCGAAAAGGCCACGCACGAAACCGACGAAAGCACAGGGAATGGGCGTCCGAGCGATGGCCAGGTGGTGGCCTGGGCCCTGCTGCAGCCGCGGTGCCGCGCGCGGGGGGTGGAGATCCGCGCGCCGCTCCACGCGGAGGCGACCGCGGTGCGCGACCGCCTGCCCCGTGAGGCGCAGCGGCGCGTGGAGCTCCTGCACGGGGACCTCTTCCACGCCGGCGGCTGGGGCGAGGCGGACGTCTTCCTGGTGAACAGCTTGGCGGCGCGCAAAAGGGGGTAGGGGGAGGGGGGAAGGGCTTCTCAGAAGCACCCTGCTTCTTAGAAGGCCTCGGCCTTACGTGTATAGAGAAGGCCCGCGCCTTCTGAGAAGCAGGGGTGCTTCTAAGAGGCCTTTCCCCTTTCCCCCACCCCCCTCTGCGCGCCGCCAAACAGCACCGGCTTCGACGAGCAGCTGATGGGGCGGGTTGCGGACAGGCTCGCGGGCGCGAAGGACGGTGCGCGCGCCGTGACGCTGTCGCAGCCGCTCCCACCGCCTGTCGAGCCTTGGACGCTGGATCATCAGGCTATGTATCGGATGTCCTGGGGCAATGCGACGGCCTTTATCTACACTAAGAAAGCATAGCAAGCGTCACGTCCCCGGAGACCGTCTCGTGTTTCACCAGTTCTGGGCACATCGCGGCTGGTGTTCTATGTCATGACGGTCCCATCCGATTGGATAACGTCATTGAGCGAGACTCATGCAGACCGATGGATGCAAGGCAACGTTGGCACTTGACACTACGTCGTGTGACCATAACCGAGTGCTGCCGAGATTAATGCCACAGGGATAATAAAGTTCGGGGTTGGGGGGGATTATAAATGTTGCCTACCGGAGGCCAGCATGCGGGAGGAGAAAGAGATGATGTTAAGAGGACCGAAAGCCGAGGATCGAGGATCGAGAATCGAAGTCCGAGGATCGAGGATCGAGATCCCAGAGTCGAGGATCGAGGTCCGAGGATCGACGGCGGCGAGGTCCGAGGATCGAGGATAGAGGTCCGAGGGTCGAAAATCGAAGATCGAGGATCGAGGTCCAGGGTGCCAGGGGGAGAAGGAGGAAGACAGAGAGAGACAGAGACAGAAAGATACATATAGTTAGAGAGAGAGAAAAGTAGAGAAAGATAGACAGACAGAAGGAGAGAGGAGGAGGAGGACGAGGAGGAGGAGGAGGAACGCCAAAGTTCCAAACCTATTAAATTCACTTTTAAACAACCAATGGAAATTAAGATTTGCATCTGCTCGTGTAGGGTAGCTCACGTGCCTCGATTTTCGTGGATAGTAAGCCACAGCGATAAAAAAAGTTCAGGGTGCCAGGGGGAGAAGGAGAAAGACAGAGAGAGAGAGACAGAGGCATAAAGATACAGATAGTTCGACAGAGAGAGAGAGAGAGAGAAGTAGAGAAAGATAGACAGACAGAAGGAGAGAGAGAGAGAGAGGAGGAGGAGGAGGAGGAGGAGGAGGAGGAGGAGGAGGAGGAGGAGGAGGAGAAGAAAAAACAAAGTTCCAAACCTATTAATTTTTATTTGTAAACAACAATGGAAATTCAGATGTTCATCTGCTCGTGTAAGATGCCTCATGTGCCTCGGTTTCCGTGGATAGTAAAACCACCTCGATAAAACAGTTCAGGGGGAGAAGGAGAAAGACAGAGAGAGAGGCAGAGACAAACAGAGAGAGAGAGAGAGACATATATATATAGAGAGAGAGAGAGAGAGAACAAACCAAAGAAAACGAGAGAGGAGGAGGAGGAGTAGGAGGAGGAAGTCTCTCATCGACAACTCTCTCGCTTCGCTTGAGACATCCTCGAAGAATTGTTGGTTCCGCTTGAGACATCCTGGACAAATTGATCGTTTCGCTTGAGGCTGCCTCCAAACAATGTCGCTTGAGACATCCTCGAAAAAGTCTTCGCTTCGCTTGATGTTGCCATCTCAATTTAAGAAGGAAGTTAACCTCGATGGTGAACTTTTCACAGTGATAAAGAAGTTCGGCCTCCGCGCCCCGCGCCCCTGACCAAACTCTAATTGGCCGTGGATAATCAACTCTAGCGTGTTAAGGGGGGGTCCTTTTTATCAGCGGCAGGCGGTTACATGTGTGTGTGTCTTCGGCGGATGATAGATGCACGCGCTGAATGCGTTTCAGTTCTGCTGCGTACGTGTCCAGCGCAGTCGCAGAAAGGCGCGTACTGGTTTGACAACACGGCAGTCGGCGTCGTGCTCGCTCGCGTTCCAGACTTCGTTTTTCGCCGTCCCTTCATAGTCCTCATCTCCCTCTTTCCCTTCCACTTCCCACATTTCCCCTCTTCCTCCTCATCTTTTTCTCCCTCCTGTCTCCACCTGTTTTCCTCCTGCTCCTCCCTTATGCCAGACACAGAACACCCGAGCTGGTCGTGCGCGATGCGCGCGCCCCACATCCGAGGAGGGTGCCCAGTGTGCCTGCATGAATTCACGTGAAGTCGGCCCATGCGGCCTTAGGCCGGAGACCTGGAAAAGCGGCGGCTCACGTAACCCACGGGGGTCTCCGGCAGCCAAACAAAGAGCACGGGCGCCGGCGCCATACTCACTTGCCCGCCGGCCCACGAGCCCCCTGCTCCTCCACCCTTGTTATTCCCCCGTGTACTTCTCCTTCACTTGTGACACTTGGTGGGAGCGCTACTCTGCGGAGGTAGGGACATGAATGGTGATGGCTGAAGGACATCGCGGCGGTGCTACGAATGTTGTGTTTGTGTGTGTGTGTTCGCTGCGTGGTGCCTATTCTCAGTGTTGCCCTTCTGGATTTCATCTATCTGCTGTTTTGGAACAGGACGTTCGTTATCTGCGAGTACGACGCCTCCACAGGCAGTGACGACCTCAACGAGATTTCACGAAAGGTCGTGCACGCGTCAACGCGAGTTCGTATGTCCCTTCAGGCTGCTTTTTTTTCAGTCGGGCATGTCCCTCTACTGGGGGGAAATTCAGAATCAAAAACTGTCAGGGGACGATTTTTGTTTTACCAGTTTTGCATAGTTTGGAGGTAATGTTCGAATATGTTTCTTTTTTCGTCAAAAATCCCTCTGCAGGAGGACATTCCCAACTTAAGGCTACTTCTGCCATATTGCACTTATTATTCAGATGCCCAGTGCTGCGGAGAATACAATTTCCCCACGCGCAGATGCACACACGCGCGGGCGGCGACGAATGTTGTCACAGTCCTGTTGCGTCGGTGGCCAGTGTTAGTTGGCAGTGATCGCGCCTCCAACTGTCAACGTTGAGTTGCTATGCCGGTTCGCTGAATGCTCCCCCACCCATCTGTCTCTCTCTCTCTCTCTTTCCCTCTCTCTTTCTCTCTATCGCTCTTGCCTCTAGCCGCGTTGACCGTGGCGGCCAGGAATCCCCAGGAATACCTCCTCTCCTTTCTACACCCTGCCTCGTCCCACCCTGCCATCTTGTTACTCGCGCGCATCACGGGTACCCCCCACCCCTCGGCTTCCGCACGCCGTTCCTCCTCCATCTACCCTTCCTCTCGACCCTCCTCCCCAGGCTCACATCGCTACGCGACCAGACAGAGTCTCCAGAGTCTCAGTGTGCCCCCTTGCCCCTCGTCGCCCCCCGCTCTCGGCTCCTGCCTGGAGCGCTGGTCCCTTGCCAGCTCCCCGAGCGTCCAGGAGGCAGAGGAGGAGAAGGAGGAGGAGGAGGAGGAGGCAAGCTTCTTCCCCCCCCTCTCTCCCCTGCACGTGCATGTATGTATACATGTTTCACCTTCTTTTTCCTACCCCTTCTCGATCTATATTCTATATCGGCTACGAACTCATTGCCTAAGCTAGCGAAGCGAAGCGAAGCGAGGAGGCAAGCTGAGAAAGGGGGGGAGAGGAGGCCTGACATGGGGGTTGGGACGAGAAGGCCCATGAGTAGGAGAAGGAGCAGGGGACGAGGAGGAGGAGCAGCGGGGGGACGGTCGAACAGGAAGAGAGTAGGAGGAGGGAGCATTGGATGGGAGTTCCTTCTCAGGGGGAGGAAGCGAAGACTGCCAGGGGTATGGTGCGGGTGGCATGGGGACGGGAGGGGGTACCGAGAGGGAGGGGTGGTGCCGTTTCCTTGAGGCGATGGTTGTTCGCGTGGACAGGGGAATATTTGGGAGAAGAGGGCGGGTTATTTCGTTGGCTCCTCTCCTCTCTGCGACCAAGCGTGTGCTGTGCGGCCATCTTGGCTCAAGCTACGAATCGGACCTAGCGTGCAGCGGGAAGCCAGGGGAGTGCGTAGCATCAGCCGCTGCATGATGGAATCCTTGCAATCGAGCGCGCAGGAGTGTCTGCCTCGCCGTTGTGGGAAACCGGTGGCCGACAATGATTTGATCAGTCGGGCTGCTCGGTTGAAACAGAGTTCGGCTTGCGCAGCACAAGCAAGGGGTTCCATCGGACCAGTGTGGCAGTGGACGCACGGTGTGATGCCCAGACGAGCAGGGCCAGCAGTGCAGGTGGTGGAGCCCGAGTGGAGTGTGACAAATCATCAGGTGTGGAGAGGTACCGTGGAGTTGAACGCGTGGGTATGATTGCGGGAACCAGGACGGGGGATGAGACCGAGACAAAGAGAGGGAGAGAGAGAGGGGGAAATAAAGAGAGAGAGAACAAGAGCGAGAGAAATATGGAGGGAGGGAGAGAAAGCGAGAGAGAGAGAGAGAGAGAGAGCGAGATCGAAACGGGAGGATGGGGAGCATGACCATGAGTGCCTCTCGTCCTCGTCCCTCGCTCTCCTCCTACGTTCCTCGATAACTCCTCCCTGTCGCGTCCCTGGGCGCGTCCGTAGGACGGTCCAGGCTTTCGGCATGACACCTCCTCGCCAGGTATGACCTGGGAGCTGAGAATCCGCAGCAGCTCCATGCATGGGGGGGGGGTCGTAACGGAGCTCTCGCAGCAGCGCCGCACACATTTATTTTGGAAGCGTTCAATAACTACACGGACGGGGGACGCTTTCAAATCGGAATTCTCGCCTTAGCGTCGCACGCATACATCGGACACATCTTCAACATATACAGGGTTTTGCGCACGTTTCAAAAGGGGTCTCTTGCTCTAACGCCGCACGCTCTGGTTTTTGAAAGCCTACAGTAGTTATAGATATTGGGGACGGCTCATTTTCAAAGTGGGAGAGTCCTTTTTTTGGAAAGATCAAAAGCTCCACCATATGTAGTAGCAGCTGCGCAGATGGAGTACAGTCTTTTCAAAATAGAGCTTTCGTTCGAGACCCCCTCAAAATCCATGACCAGACGGGGAGCCTTGTGCAACAGTTTGTTGCACGGATGCTTTTTGCCATGAAAAAAGACAGTGATCTCGTTGGACACGTGGTTGAAATGCACGATCACGTTCTTCACCTAGCGCTGTAAAGATACAAGGCAGTTCCTTATCAAAGCGGGGCTCTCGTCTGAATGCAGGCCCATAGTTTTCTGGTCTTTTAAGCCGTAGCTCGGGGTCCTGGGAGGATAGCAAATTCGTCCCGGCAAGTCGCACGTGGGATGTATGACGAGGAAAGAGGAGGTTGTCGCTGCGTTTTCGTCGCACGAAGACGACGACGACCTAGCCCTGCCACACGCTCGTGACTTCGGACAGCTGCAAATGCGAGAACTCTACAGCCCTGTTACACGTTCGTAACTTCGGAAAGCTGCAATCGACAGAATCTCATATAACGCAGATCACGATAAGGGACTGTGAAATGAGAGAGAAGGGGAGGGGAGGAGGAGGGGTGGGAACGCAGAGAGGCCCCAGGGCTAGCTTCCCCACAGAAGAAATATGTTTCCTGATTCGGGGGATCGCGTGGTGCAGTTGTAGAA